TCAAACCTTTCAGATTTTAAGCTTCAAACTGAGAACTGTTCTTCCAAATTCATTTCGATTACCCTGAAAACCAAAATCGGCGATTTACATAAGTCATAATACATCACACGGGGCTAGTCATGCTCTAGAACTGGTGAGCAAAGTGCAAAATCTCAAAACAACCAGTCGAGGTGTTACACAGCCACGCCTATGACAAAGTGGTATCAAAGCGGGTCGTGCCCTAGGGAGTCTACCAAGTCGTGCCTAGTAGAGTCTCACTTATAGGTTTGTTGCGCACCACATTTATAATTGAGAGGCTATATGGCATTTAGAAAATTCTACCCTTCTTTTGTTTCAAGATAGTGCCATGGAGCTAAGTTGTAAGAATTCAATATAAAGTTTACACAAAATTTTGTATACAATAAAGGTGCTATCATAATAGAGCTTTAAGGCGTAGATGTAATTTCTACTTATGTGGAAGGAAAGTTAAGGAAGAAATAGAAGATACAATGCAAGATTGAAAGGTAAGTAAGATAAAAGTGAAGAAGATACGAGATACCCAAGTACAAAAGATTGTGAATAGTCGAGACTTCAGAAATAATTAAGTTTAATTTACAGAGGAGACCCTAGTGAAAATTTTGTAAATCTCTAAGAGTTAACATTCGAAGACGAATGTTTTAAAGGGGGGAAGGATATTACATCTCGTACCTTAACGTTAAGATTCGTCGAAGTAATAACATATGAGTTGAAAGGGATTAAGGTTATACATGAAGATATGGATATAAGACCCTGTAAGTGTGAAGAATTTCGGAACTACTATATATTGGCTTGATATGTATTTTCTTTGAAGTAAATCCATTTATCTCTTTAATTGTTCATTGTGCACTTATTTATTATAAAGTACACATATTGCATGCAGTCATTAAGATTTAGGGGCAAATTATTTGTTTGCTTGAACTATGCGCGTATGTTTTTCCTATTTCTTTATACTAATGTGGGATATATTATGTATTTTTCTTTCCCTTGTTATTGATTTTTTATCTTGGGTCCTTTTCCCTAAAATGATGGTGTAATAGCTGCAACCAGATAGATTAGACTTTGATTATAGTGAACATAATGTTCTGATGCATTTTTGAATTCCCATGTATATTATTATTACATCTTCTATTTATGGGTCTCATAAAAATACATAAGTTGAAAAAGGTTTATTTCATGATATTAATCAAAGGTATAATGGTCTTATGATGTTCCGAGAAGTTTTATTAACATACTTCTCATGCATTGCATTCATTTACATGTGCATTTACCCATGACTCAGACGGCGTTATATACACGTATATATATGTATATTGGATATGGAAAAAGGTTATGGCATTACATACGCACCGCTATCTGATCAGCAGGTATACGTTGATGATTTGCCCACAGTGGCCGAGATGATATGATGGGATTCACTGAGAGGCGTGATGATGTTATGGCGTTATATACGCGTATATATATATGTGTGTGTGTGTGTGTGTATATATATATATATATATATATATATATATATATATATATGTGTGTGTGTGTGTGTATGGTATATGGGAAAGGTTATGGCATTATATATGCACTACCACCTGATCAGCTAGTATACGTTGATGATTTCCCCACAGTGGCGGAGATGATGTGATGGGATGCCCTCAGAGGCATGATGATGTTATGAACACATGTACCCATGCACGACATGACATTCATATGTATATGCATAACACTATAAGTATTTCATGATTTACAGAGTTATCCAGACTTACAGGTTGAGTCATCTCTCTATATTTCTTCCATGTTTTTAATTAATGTTGACATATTGTTATGTTTCAGTTCTGCCTTACATACTTAGTACATTATTCGTACTGACGTCCTTTTGTTAGGGACACTACATTCATGCCCGCAAATATAGACAATCAGTTTGACGAGCCCTCATAGTAGACGAGGTTAGCATTCAACGAAGGATTGGTAAGGCTCCACCTCATTCAGAGTGCAGCCGAGTCTATGAGTCATTGTGTCAGAATTTTGCTACAGACTTATGGGTAGGTCAGTTCCCTGTCCCATTTGATGTTGAATAATCTTAGAGGCTTTGTAGACAGAGGTTCAGTTTGTGCAGTATGTCAGAGGCCTTGACTGCCTATATGTATTCATGTTTTAAGAACGATAGTTTATTGATACGGTGTTGCCCACTTACAGTTGTACATTATGAGTCATGGCCATGTAGGCCCATGATAGTTATAAAAGGAATGAATGAGTTACAGAGTGGTTCGCTCGGGCCGCTACGACACCAAGTGTCAGTCACACCTCCCCAGGTTTGGGGCATGACAACTTTTACCTGGATTACCTTTAGAGCATCCATCAGTATTAAGTTTAAACATACTAGGCTGAGGGAGTTTCTGGGTGGCTTGGATGATATTCAGCTTTGGCTTAGCTGTTTCACAAATGGACAAGAGTTTCTTCCAATTGGAGGCTACATCAATCTGTCTAAACTGTTTGTGAATGATTATAGTGGCATTATGGCAAATGGAATGTGCTACCTTAGAGGTGTAGATTCTTTCTTGATCATACTTTTTCCTGCACCTTGCCCTCCAGATATGCCAATTAATTAGAAGGGGAATAGCATGTAGCATAAGTTTTTTGATAGGATTTTGAAAGTTAGCAAACCACCATCCTAGCATGGCATATCTAATTCTCCCTTTAGAGTCGTTAATTCCAAATTGATTTCTAAAGGCATTCCAAATGTTCTTGCTGGGATTGCTTTTTCGGAAAATATGTTCCACATCCTCACTCATAGGATTATCACAACAGTCACATCTAGAGGGATAAAGGTACCCAAGCTTCTCGATATTATCATCGGTATGGAGTCTATTCTTTAATAGCTTCCAATTGAAGAAAGAAATTTTAAACGGAATAACATTGTGCCAGAGGTTTTTGTTAACAAAGATAATGCCTTGTTTCTGTCTCAAAAATTCCAAGCAGATGAGCACGTAAATTCTCCATCAATGGACTCAGTCCATATTGCCGGATCAGATTCATGTTATATGTCAAATTTGATCCCTTTGATATGTTTGATTAGATGATGTGGCAAGCACCGGGATAGCTTAACAATGTCCCATTTATTGTCGGATATGAGCTCCGCTACTGTGACTTCATGAGGTACATCACAATTACAAATATTAGCAATGGCTGCCAAACCCATCCAGTTATCCCAAAGAAAAGAAGAATTGCCCCTTTAGATCCTCCATAGAATATTATGCTTTATATCTTTCTTAATATCCATAAAACTTCTCTAAGGTCCAGATTGTTTGGCCTTTATTTTCCTAGAAACTGGATGTAATCTACTACAATATTTAACCTTAAAAAAAGAAGACCACAAAAAATGTTGTGTCCTGAATAGCCACCACAATTTAGCTATGAAAGATCTGGAGATGTCGTATAACTTTCTGAAGCCGACTCCCCCCTCCTCAGTAGGGTAGCATAGCTTATTCCATGTTACCCAATGGTATTTTGTATTACCTTCCTGTTGTCCCCTAAAGTAATTTGTAAAGTATTTCTCAAGAGTTTTAAATACAGCCTTTGGGGGTTGGTAAATAGAACGAAGATGCATAGGAATAGCCGAGAGAACATGTTTGATCAATATGGCTTTGCCTTCGGCAGAGAGGAATTGTCCCTGCCAATTTATGATTCTTTGAATAATTTTAGAAAACATCCCAGAGAAATATTGGATCTTTTTTGCTTCCATAATAAATTGGGGAACCTAAATATTCAAAAGGAAAATATTACCTTTTAAATCTTAGGTGTCGTTCAATAATTCTAATCCTTTCCTTAGTACAAGTCTGTCCCACAAGATAACAAATTTTCTTTGAATTTACCTTCTGTCCCAATGATTTTTCATAATCTGTTAAAATATCTTGATCATTTTTAGGGACCTAATATTACCAAAGGTGAAAATAATTAGATCATCTGCATAGGCCAAATGATTAATCTGGGGGCCTTTTTTTGTGCATAGAGAATCCTATGAAATCTTCATTATCATGCAATGTATTCAAAGCTCTAGAAATAGCCTCGGCCGTAATAATAAATAGGGATGGGGACAAAGAATCCCCTTGCTTCAGCTCTCTTTTTGATTTAAAGAAACCATGCCTCTTTCCATTTATGATAATGGAATACCGAATATTAGCTATAAGATTCCAAGCTGTATGGATCCATTGTTCGGAGAAACCCATTTTCCTCATAACTCCACATAAGAAAGTCCATGATAAGCTGTCATAAGCTTTATTCATATCTAATTTGATGACTACATTATTCCCTATTTGCTTCTGGTTGATCCCACTGATAATTTCTTGTGCCAAGAGAATATTCTCCCCAATGGCTCTCCCTCTGATGAATCCATTCTGATTAGGAGATATAATATTAGGCAACAATCTAGAGAGTCTATTGTTCAGGAGTTTAGTGATAATTTTTTGGGTTACGTTGTTGAGGCCTATAGGTCTGAGATCAGAGAAAGACTGAGGATTATCAACTTTAGGCATCAAAATTAGACAAGTATGTGCTATAAGTTTGCTTATCTCTCTTCCATTTATCACTTTTCGAATCATATGATAAATGTCTTCCCCAATAACATCCCAATTATGCTGGAAAATATCTTCCATTGAAGCCATCAGCTAGACCCTGTGCATTACTCGGATTAATGTCAAATACTGCATGTTTAACTTCATCCATAGTTGGAGTATCCATTAAGAAATTATTGTCCTTATAAAAAATAAGCTTTGGAATTCTTTCAATGAATTGTAAATCAGTTCTCTGAGATTCTTGAGAGAAGATATTTTCATAATAGTCAATAGCAGCTTCCGATATATCATCTTCCCCCTCAATCCATTGGTTGCCCTCCCCTTTAATTCTATATAAGTAAAGTCTTTTCCTTCTACCTTTTATCATTTTGTGGAAATAGCTAGAGTTGCTATCCCCTTCAAGATTCCATTTTAAGTGAGCATTTATCTCCAGAAAGAATTCACCTTCTTCATGTGTATAATATATTCCGCCTTGAGCTTGTTAATCTCAATCCTATCTGTATCATTGTCATCTATCTGAAGCTTTTGTTCTTTCTCATCAATCTTGCTTTCCATGTTCTTTGCCATATTAAAAATATTTTCAATAACAGCCTTAGACCATTGGCTTAAAGCTTTGCTAACTGCTTTAAGCTTTTGTTGAACTTTCCAGCACGCACTTCCTTCTATATGTGTATTCCAAGTCTGTTTGACTATATCTTTGAATCCCTGTTGTTTAATCCAAAAATCTAAAAATCTGAATTACTTGGGGGTGATCCTCATCTCGTATCTTGAATTGAAGGAGAAGTAGACAATGATCCGATCCAATTCTAGCAAGATGTTGTACATTTGATGTAGAGAACAACTCCTCCCATTCATTGTTTATCAAGAGTCTATCCAACCTCTTCCAAATCTTATTATACTTCTTTTTATCATTATTACACCAAGTGAAGTTGTTTCCAATGTATCCTGCATCTATAAGCATACAATCATCCAAATATGTAAGGAAAGGCATGTGGACATCGAAATTTTAAGGGATCAAGCCAAATCCTAAATTAAAGATACTACAGGACTCCAAGAAATCCTAATAGACTCCTAGGATTTCAAGAGTCCTGTAGTATCTTTAATTTAGGATTTGACTTGATCCCTTAAAATTTCGGTGTCTACAAATACCTCTACTTCAAGCTTTATCAGGGTGTAGGCTTACCGAAACTTTAATAAGAGACCTGAAGTACTCTACCAATTAAAGACAAATGGTTTTGAAACTTGGAGTTTTAGATTTACAGGAGGAAGAGATGAAGGGCAATACTGGTCCCACTAGGCGTGTCAATTTGTTTGTAACTAATTTTCAACATATGAAAAATAAACTGCAATCACAAAATAAGAGAAAAATATTTTTACTAATCAATTGTGAGTACAATTCTATTTCTCCCTTGATTCTTCGCTCCTGATTATCTCCATGATTCGAGGGCTGAAGCAGCGTGTTTCTCGAACGTAGGATGATACAGGCCTCTCTGGATTATTTGATCTCCATGAAAGTCGATCATTGTATGGATATTCTTCTTGAAGTATTTGATTATCAAGAAGAACATCTATTGATCACGATATTATTTTATGCTTTGATCCCTTTATGAATATCCCGAGAACTTATGGGATTTTTGAGACCGCTCTTCAAGGGAATATGTATTCTTTTATATAGGTGTGAGTTAGGGTTTAGGGTAGAGTAACCTCCAAAAAATCGTAATAGACTCCTAGGATTTCAAGAGTCCTGTAGTATCTTTAATTTAGGACTTGGCTTGATCCCTTAAAATTTCAGTGTCTACAAGGCATACTTTCCCTTATGTTAAAATGATTTCCTCCTTTCTTCTCCTCTTCAGTTGTGCTAGTATTAAAGTCTCCACAAACTGCCCATGGAACTGCACCTGAAACAACAAAATTTCTCATTTCATCCCATAACTCTTCCCTCTCATTGATAGTAAATTTAGCATACACAATAGAAATGTACATGGGTGAATCAATAGTATTATGCATAATCTTGCAATTGACAATTTATTCTCCAATCTTCAAAATTTCACAATTGATATCAATATTCCAGAAGAGCCATATCTTGTTATTTGTATTGAAAAAGGATTCTGCCATGCCAAAATCCCTGATGTAGTGGTTGATGTTGGCTTGAATAGCCAATAAGGAGATTTTGTGTCTTTGAATAAGTGAAGTGACCCTCTCAGTAGCAGCTTGGGATTTCATCAAATTTTCCGACCAAAAGGTTTTCTTAGTTCAAACCCTTAGAGCTCTACAACGTCCAGAAAATATCCTACTTAAGAAATGCTACTATTGAGCTTCACTATACGAGAAAATCCCAGATACACAAGAAAGAAAATTCCATAGGAAACATTTTCAACAACAAAAGACCGAAATTGAATTTCTGCAATAAATATCCTGACAACGCAACTGTATTGGGAAAAATTGAGTTCATATATGGAATTTATTGTAAGATGATACGTCATGACACATGGACCGATCAAAGGATGATATCTGGCAAAGAATAATCAAAGAGGCACGAGCTGCAACAGGCACGGGCAGATATTCAGGGAAAACAAGAAAGATAAATGTTTGACCCTCTTTACGATCGAAGAGAATGAATCTGATAGCAAAAAAGGTATAGATACGTATTGTTAGGCATTAAATACGAAAAATGTTAGAGAATTTGTATTGAATCATTTGTAAGGATACAAAATACTATTGGAATATATTGAATTACTCTGTTTTATACTCAGCTATAATTTATCAATTATTCTTATTTCTATTCGATTATTAGTAACTCGAGTTCATCTAAAATAAGATTTGACCGAAATCCCAATTTTTTGTTAAACAAATTGGTTCCATTACCAGAAATCTGATAATCACTTACTTTCGTAGTCAAATCCTTCATCAAAAAACTGATCATGTCGAATGTCAACGACAATAACCAACACAATTTACCACTCCAAGATCCTCAACATCAGGAGATTGATGTAAATGATAGGACCACACTTTCCTCACCGCGTGATTCACAACAACAATCACGAGAGGGAACTTCAGATGGCTCTGAAACAAATAACGGGGTTGAGAACCAAAACGGATTTGAGGCGAATCAAAATACTAGAGTTGCGAATGAACAAGCACTCGATGATGCTCTGAAGAATCTAATTGCTCAACAAGTCAGTAATGCTCTCCGGGTTTTTACTAACCAGTTACCAGTTGTGCCACAAACACCAACTCCGAATCATAATACTTTGGAAAACCCACATTCTGGGCTCGTCAATTCAGGCACTGGTGGAACTCCCAACGAGTCTCGTGAGGGCGAACCATGTAACATAGTTAATTCTGATTTGCAAAATTTAATTCTAACCTTGCAGAAGCAGCTCAAGGAGCAAAGCGATAGCATAGAGCAAATACCCGGAGTACCACTTGTGATCAAAGGAATAGACATGGATAAATACTCACAACAACCATGGAAGCCTAGTGTTGCTCCTGTGCCAATCCCGAAGAAGTTCAAGATGCCTGATATCCCAAAGTATGATGGCATAACTAATCCACGAGACCATGTAACTGCATTCACAACTGGTGTGAAAGGCAACGATTTAACCAAACAAGAAATCGAATCAGTATTGGCCAAGAAATTTGGTGAAACACTCACCAAGGGAGCATTAACATGGTATTCTTTCTTACCCAAAAATTCTTTAAATTCTTTTGCTGAGCTTGCAGATTCATTTATCAAAGCGCATTCGTGAGCTCAAAAAGTTGAAAAAAGAATGGAAGATATTTTCAAAATTAAGCAAGGAGATTCCGAACTGCTTAGAGAGTTCGTGGATAGGTTCCAGCGTGAGAGAATGACGTTACCACGCGTACCTGATAACTGGGTAGCTATGGCTTTTGCCAGTAATTTAAATGAGAAAATCTCAGAAGCCACGAGATGACTCAAGGAAAGTCTGCGTGAATTTCCAGCAACAACCTGGAATGATGTTTACAACAGATATAACACAAAGCTAAGGATAGAAGAAGATACCATCTCCTGATCTCAAAAAGAGGAGAAGATGAGTTCGAGACGTGCAGAAATCGAAAAAAGGTCCGACAAAAATAGGCATGAACCATACATGGGCCCAGCAGGAAATGACTCACGATCAAAGCAGGACAATTCAAGGTATGATCATAGATCGAGAAATAGAGAGTCGAGTTCATCATCGAGGTTTGGAAACAATTGAAACACACAAGAAACGCGAGATGATGATAGAAGCCGGAAGGCAAGATTTGGCGGTTACAATTTTAATGTCAGCACTTCAGAATTAGTAGTCGTACTAAGAATCATGGGTAATAAGGTGCGGTGGCCAAAACAATGAGATCAAATCCAAATAGACGTAATCCTGATCACTGGTGCGAATTTCACAACGATTATGGTCATAAAATAGCAAATTGTAGATTGCTACAACGAGAAGTCGACCATTTATTAAAGCAGGGGTATCTTACCGAATTATTTAGTGAAAAAGGTAAGCAAGCATACATGAAGAACAGACAGGAGCTTCCTAAACCTCCTTCTCCGAAAAGGACCGTTAATGTTATAAGCGGGGGCGAAGAAATCAATGGCGTGACATATATGGTGGACAATAAAGTTTCTAAAGTTATAATTACCCACGGGAAGCGGGTCCGACATGTTTTGGAGAAGGAAAGTATTACATTTGATTATGCAGATGCGGACGGCGTGTTAACTCCACACAACAATGCACTGGTAATCTCTCTACTTGTACATGATACTAATGTGAAACGAGTTTTGATTGATCCAGGCAGTTCCGTGAACATTATTTTGCTAAGAGTACTAAACGAGATGCAAGCTGAAGATAAGCTAGTACCTAAGGCACATACTTTGTCTGGATTCGACAATTCAAGTGTTGTAACAAAAGGGGAGGTAACACTTACAACATTCGCAGAAGGAGTTGTCAAAGACATGAAATTTCAGGTGGTAAAGATGGAAATGGCTTACAATATGATTCCCGGGAGACCGTGGATCCACGAGATGGATGTTGTTCCGTTTACCTTACATCAAGTTATTAAATTTCCATCACCATGGGGAATATGTCAAATCCGTGGGTATCAATAGACATCCATGAGCATTAACTCTGTAGCAGATTCAAGTACGAAAAACAAAAAAAAGTAGCAATTATAGAATCCAGTTGAGGATACCACAACACAAGCCTCAACTGAACAAGGGCGAACAGATGTGGACTCAAGGCCCGATTCCATTCAAGAACCAGAAGAAAATTAAAATATCAAAATAACGATTGAAGAACTAAAGGCTGTAGAATTATTTGCACAATTGCCTGAAAAGAAAGTCTACATTGGGGCCAACTTAAGCCACGACATGAAAGGTAAGTTGATTGAATTTTTGAAAACTAATGTGGATTGTTTTGCCTGGTCCCATTCTGATATGACAGGAATACCCCCGGAAGTAATGACTCACAAGTTAAATGAAGACTCATCAAAGAAGAGAAAGCAGGGGACTTTCAAAAATTAGGTGATTCAAGATGAGATTTAAAAACTATTAAAAATTAGGTCTATCCGTGAGGTAAAGTATCCTAATTGGTTAGCCAATACTGTAGTAGTACCAAAAAATAATGGCAAGTGGTGAGTTTGTGTAGATTACACTGACCTTAACAAAGCTTGTCCTAAAGACTCTTTTCCCTTACCACATATAGATCAACTGATTGATGCTACTGCATGGCATGAATTGTCAAGCTTTTTAGATGCATATTCAGGGTTAATCAGATTAAAATAAATCCCCTAGATGAAGAAAAAACTTCATTTATAACAGACAGGGGGACTTACTATTATCCCTTTGGCCTCAAAAACGCTGGTGCCACGTATAAAAGATTGGTGACCAAAATGTTCCAAGAACATTTAGGAAAAACTATGGAAGTTTTACATAGATGATATGCTTGCCAAATCTCAACAATCAGGGGATCATATATCGCACTTATCTGGTATATTTCAGATCTTACGAAAATTCAATATGAAGCTAAATTCAGAGAAATGTGCATTCGTCGTTTCATCATGTAAGTTTTTGGGTTTTCTTGTTTCTAACTATGGTATTGAAGTAAATCCCGGGCAGATTAAAACCATTGAAGAAATTACTGACATGCTTACAAGTAAGAAAGAGGTGCAGAGACTAACGAGAAGAATTGCATCCTTAGGAAGATTTATTTCCAAGTCATCAGAAAAATATTTTAAATTCTTTTCGGCTCTTAAAAAGCAAGATCAATTCGAATTGTCTGAGGAGTGTCAACAAGCACTCAAAAACTTGAAGGCATACCTATCAAATCCACCGTTGCTCACAAAACCAAAGGATGGGGAAAGGTTACTTATCTATCTAGCTATTTTAGAAGTAGCACTGAGTGCTGTTTTAGTTCATGAAGATATGATATCCTCAATTAGAAAAGCTTGCACTTGCACTAATCATGGCATCTAGAAAACTAAGGCCTTATTTTCAATGCCACCCTATTTCCGTAGTAACTGCTTATCCATTGCGTAATATATTACACAAACATGAGTTATCAGGTAGGTTAACCAAGTGGGCCATAGAATTGAGTGAATACGACATCACATATCAGCCCAGAACCGCAATAAAATCTCAGGTGTTAGAAGATTTTTTGGTTGATTTTAGTCATGGAATACAACTAGAAGATGAAAAAGAACTACAAGTGTTCAATGGGTCTAATCCGGGAACTTGGACTTTATTTACTGATGGTTCATCAAATGTGAAGGAGGCAGGTTTAGGAATTGTTTTGGTGCCACCTACGAGTGAAACCATTCGACAAGCCATAAAATGTCATCCTATAAATAACAATGAGGCAGAGTATAAAGCTTTGAGTGCAGGTTTAGAACTGGCACGTGAACTTGGCATTGATCAGATTGTAATCAAAAGCGATTCACAGCTCGTGGTTAATCAAATATTGGGGACTTATACAGCCAGGGAA